ATTAAAAAATTTTTCAAAGTTTTTATTGAAGCTACATAAAGAGATTTTATCGAGATTCCCGTAGATTATTGAGAAGAGATACAATTTAACCCATTTCTTTGCATGAAAATACTGTTCCTTCACATGCATATTATTCGTTATAAATGATGCAGAAATCATCTTTGCGTACACATATTACATCACGTTACATATGTTTATCCTACGTGATCCCCCTGCATTCGTTTCCGTTTAAATGTGAAATCGGCTTAAGCGCGATAAGGATGAAATCCGCTTGTTACACAAATCCGCGAGAACGCTTTTGGCGTAAAAGGAATATTCTTGACGTCACGTTGGCGGCCAACAGGTAGATTAATTATACTGCCGTACACGTCGATTTAATCCGCTTTTTGAAGTCGAAGAAAGAGGAAAAGTGGCCCTAGAGGAGCGCGCAAATAGAAACGGAAGTCTAGGCGAGCGATTTATCGACATTTCCATTGAAAATTAATCCGTGCTGCGCACTCGAGGGTGCTTTATCTACATTTTCATCTCTCTTTCTCTCTGTCTCTTTCGCACTTTCTATCTCCACAATCGAGTATCGAATGTACCTCGTAACGAGTAAAGTACTCGAAACAAATATCCGACTGTGAAGAAGCGGCTTTATTGGGAATTAAAATTGTTAGCGATATATACGCCGACACAAACTTCTTAACGTATTCGCATTACGGAAGTCCGACGCTGCGAGAAATAATATAAAATTACGGTATACGGGTTACAGTAGCCATCTGGGCTTTAATAGCTGTTTCTACTATGTTTCGTGACCAGCTATACGTAAGGCGAGAGTACAAACAACTTTACGAATCACTTTTCTTGATGTATGGGCCTCCCGACTTTGCGCGTTTATCATACATGTAGCGCGCTACACTTCTTTTACCAACCGTCAGGCTTTTCATAAATTCTTAAATTCCAATTTATCTTCAAATTTTTTATTCTAGTTCTTAAGGAGTTAAACATGTGGCCATTTTTCAAATACTGGCTCTGAAAAGTTTTCTGATAATAAAAGAAAATCGAAAAATATTAAGTGAGTAAAATGTACTTGTTAATTTACTGAATTTTCTATTCTAATTGCAATATTGAATATAACAATCACTGTAATGGGAAAACACATATAAACTTTCAGAAAATGTAAAAAAGGACTGGATTTTTTAACCTTTTTATAATGTATAAATATAATTAATTAAAAATATCTACTGTGAAAATGAAATAGGAATTGTGAAAATAAAAGCGCGTAATTATAACGCAAGAAATGATAAGTATTACACAAATATTTACAAAATTTTGCATTTAGTACCATATTAAATTAATTAGAGGTAGCAAACAAAGTTAATGAAATCCGATGTTTAAAGCTTAACAAATTTGACATTAAGTACTTGCTGAACGTAATCGAGAATCCCAGCGTGTTTAAAATGCTATCATTTGTAACATTCACCTCTTCAAATATTCCAATGCATGAATTGTCATTAATTTTTATACATCCCTGTGTTGGGTCAATTACATGCGAATACCATGTGCATCTATGAAACCTTTTAAATAATTGCCAAAGCAGTTGAAAGAATATCTAGCTTTACATGCAGCAAAAGAGTTTCCCGAGTTTTCTTCAATATAAAATCTCAAACTCGTATAGTCTGTCGGAACGCCGCGTCTCTCGATTACGTCGGAGAGAGATGAGGAGTGATGGAAAATAAAATAAAATAAAAGCAAAGACAAAGGGAATAGAGAAAAGGATGAAAGGAAAGGAGATGCGGAATATAAACGTATTGTGCGACCTGCTGTCTGATTGATGTAAAACTCGAATGCGGCCAAGGGCCCGTAAGTGCTGGAGCAGTGCGAGTCACGATGGTCCACCTTGATGTTCCATCCGTATAGAGGTCCCCTGGGTGAGCTGACGTATTTCACAGCCAGCAATACTGCCGGTAACACCCTCTTCAGGCTCTGCTCGTGGTGAGGATCGCCCGGCGCGATCACCGCCAGCTTTACCTCGTTTCTGGACTGCACCATTCGCATACCCCCGCCGATACATTCCCTGGAGCCACCAGCCGGCGTCGTCGTCGTCATTATCGTCCCCGTCGTTTCCGTCGTCGTTCCCGTCGTCATTCCCGTCCCCGTTGTCGTCGTCGTCGATGCCCTCGTCGGCGTCGTCATCAAGCCGATATCCGCGCAATGACCCGCGCACAAACCCGACAGGATCAGCATTAATCGCACTAAAACACCATTCGCGCACCACCGCTTTCTCGTCCGCGACGCCATCGCGTCCCCCTGGAGCACGTTACACTTTTATTTCGACGGGGGGCTATCTATCTAATTATTGCGCGTCGCGATGCATTTTCCGGATTACGGCCAGTTACGCGAGAGGAAGAACGAGTCACTCGCAACTGCTCGCGGGATTCAGATAACCGACCCCTCCGCATTTTAGTGTTACATCAAGTCTCACTTGGAATATCCCAACCGCAACGTATCTCACGGCAAAGTAGTTCCAGCGTTCGTCGCATTCAACGCGCTTGCCGTGATCCGCATTTTGTTGAATTTCTGACGCGATATGAAGACGTGAGAAGAATAAAAAGATCAGCGACGCGTATTTTTTAAGTTTTCGCTATGTTTTATTAAACACGTTTCCATATAGTGATATGCATCTCATTATTCTTCGTGATTTTGATGGACGTGTATTGTATTCTTGTTCGTTTTCATTTTTCGCCATTTTCATAATACACATATAAACACGTGTCTCTACGCACGGAAGAGCTTCTGAAGCTCTACGTGCATTAATGTGCTTATAAGAGAAGTGGCGTAGATAATCTCACTTCTCCTTTAAAGCGTTAGATATCGCCCCTCGCTAGGGAGGTTTCACTGCAGTTCCTCGTACAGTCCAATTTAACTTCGATGCAACGATAATCATTAGAAATCCCGAACATCATGACTCCACTAATTACGAAATACACACGTGCTCTTTAGGAGCCCGGCTGCGAAACGAGTCCAAAATTAAAAAGTGTGAGATGTCTTGATTAATCTCGTTAGACCGCACGCATAATCGTCTGCGTGTTAAGTGACATCACGCGCATTTACCTCTACGTTTTAAGTTCACAAAGAATTGTAAGATATCACCAATTTTGTTTAATCGTGTAAATTCTCAATTCTCGTTCTTTATCTGGAATAAACGACGTAATGCAAAGAGGATTTAGTAATATTAGCCTCAAAGATGCCCTTGGAGAACATGTAAATAAGTTTCCTTCCTCTCATGATAATATAACCGCCACGTGTTATCGCTATACGTACACCGAAAAGCAAAAATGAGTATCTTTTTCGGTGTAGATAAGCGCACCATTTCTACCTTCCAGCCAATTGCGCGCCTAGAAATGCGCTCATCTACGCCTATTTACACCGAAAAGGAACTCGTTTTTGCTCCCCAGTGTACAATATCTTTTTAGTATTTTTCAGAATACATAAAAAAGATCGTAGCTGCAATTTCTCATAAAGAAGTTACGTTCCAATGATCTTAAACTCACTTTTCATCTATAATTTGTGTCAGAATTTGGAATGAAATTCTATTCACAATTTTATGTGACATGTAATACGAAAAATATTTTTAAAAGTCAGCATATACACCTATTGTTGCGTTTGCGCCAATTAGCTGCGTAGAATTGAGTCAGCTGAATTAAAAAATCAATATTAAAATTTTGAGCTTTCAAGTTTAAAATGAGATTGAATTAACGTGTCTTGATCAGTGATTTATTTATCCAATAACGAATAATTCTCGAGCGTGTGATAATATATTAAATATGTATTAAAATATATATAGGTACGTTAAAATATACCGCATGTGAAATTATAAATAGAATTCTATCCTGAAAGCTGACACAAATTTTAGATGATGTATGAGCTTTAATAAGAGTAGCTTTCAAAGTTGTTGGCACATACATTTATATTATATTATATTTCCTAATTAAATTAATTAACTTAAAATGTATACTTGTATCGCAGGATATTATTTCATCTTTAACCCGTCGTATTAATATTATAATCTCTAGTATTTAATTATGTGATGGATGAAACAAACGAAGAAATAAGTACATGTCGATATTCTTTCCGGATAAAAATAATATCAGAACAAAATCAAAGACTCTATATTTTCTTCCGAAAAAACCAATATATCTAATTTAAAATTTCCATATAAACTCGCATCGTGTTATGCAGGACATCTATAAAATGAAACAGAGCTCGTAATATCTTATAAGAATTATTTCGCGTCCGTATCTGACCTCATCAAATTAACCCTCAAATTATTTAGTAAATTAATCCTTTCAGCTAATCCTTAATAGCTTCAACATGGCTACAAAGGAACCCGACATTGTACAAGTAGCTAAATAATATGGCACGTGAAGCGGGCCGCTTCATCAAAGTCTAAAACAGCAATTCATTCCGATGCTTCAAGTATTCGGGTGACTTTCTTATTTCAGAGCCGGAACGTGCTGAAAGCCGTCGACAGACCTTTTACTACGCGGAAAAGTAATAGGGATAGGTAGGTAGCGCGTCTTCTCTTCGCTCTGTCTGCATCTCTTGGTTTTTCGCGCCGGGCTTTCGGCATGCGCGCGCGAAAGAGAAGGAAAATGCGACATGAAACGCACCTTCTGAATTAGGGATGGAAGAATGATGTTATTACGCGAGGCAGACAGAGTCGGGCAAACGGGACGTACGTGACCGTGCACGTCAAAAGTTATCCGTGTCGCGATAGACGGCGCGTCATGTAACTTTTAACTCGCAACGGCGAGATGTAATCTAACTTTAACACGGGTGCTTTATAAAACAAACAACATGCGATTCACTCTTAGATTATTATTCTTTTATCTTGGATGACTTTGCAATTTTATACATAATTATGCTCTTTTAAAAGTTGCTCCCCCGTAGATTAATGGATATTGTTTATCATCAGCACTTATTTATCATCAAGTCCAAGTTACATCATCTTGCCGCAACAGTTAATTAAGGCTTGCAAGCAGTTAATTTACGAAATATGTTCGTTAAACACGAGTGCGAAATAAATCACAAGATCACGCCGTTAGTTTAATCGCATAACGCAAGGCGACAGTAAGGAAACGGATTTGCACCCTGCATAATTTAGTGGAGTTCTCGTATCCTTGTGGATGTGCGAGAATTAATACTTGATTCATTGCTACCAGGCACGTATTCGATCAATGTATACGTATATATTTTATGCATAGAGTCCGCGCGATAAAAATATACGAGCGTTCGCTAAATACGCTCTACGGGTGTGCCCGAGAGACATCCCGGATGACGTGGATTACGCGATTACGTACCAATAAGTCGCGAGAAAAATTCTCGTAATTATCCGTAACACTGTCGTTACAGTTTACACGCGAGCAACGTTCCGCAGTATCGACAACGCAATTTAGTCTGGATAACGCGTTACAATTTGCGCTACTGAAATTTTACATCGCGATAAAACAATCGTACAGTGCTTTCAATGTTCGTAACGAGCTTGCGCAATCACGCATTTTGTTGCAAAATTTGTCGGCATTGATCGATCTCGCGGAGACGGCATAGAGCGACTTTTGGTCGATCCATATTCACACTCTGTGATCAACGATAGGACGCGGAATCGTGTTGCTAGATGAAACTCACGAAGTTCCTGATATAGTCGATAATGGCTTCATTATGTAACCGGCGTCTTCGAAAATGAAAATTAATCACAGCAAACAAAAACCCGGATTCGACCCGGAATCCCCAAACTCAACTTCGTTCGAACTTAATTGTAAGGATAGCGTTCCAATGAAGGGAGCGTCAAACCTGATTCGTAAATTGAGGAACTTTGTAACGATAAGGGGAGATCTTAAAGCGATATGCAAAACATTGCTGTTTGTATATTTCACGGAGAAAACATTATTGAAAAAAGAAAACGTAAAAAGGACACAAGATCTGTCTTTGATAAAATATTGATCATTTTATATATTTTATCTGTCTCTATATACACTGAGACTTTTTTTTTACTAAAAATTTACTTGATCAATAAGCGGTTAAATTGGAAATATCCCGAAGGATAAAAGAATCTGATGGATTTAGGTCTTCAACGGAAATTAAATAAATTCGTTGAAACGAACCCTTTGTTCCGTATAATTTAGTACCTTATATTGAGAAAATCGTCAAAGTGAAAGGAGCATGTGCCTCACTTCGTAATAGTTAAAATTCATATTAATATTCATAAACTTATGCAAAAGGATGATGTTGCAACAAGTGGTACTCTCAACGAGTTTTATCAAATCCTGTTCTTTGACGTTTCATCGATTTATAAAATATTACCGTTCTACCGAAGAACTTCCACAATTAAGGAGACTTATAATTAACTCTCGAAATATCTTTTACTGCGAGTAGTTTTAAAGAAAAAAGATAAAAACGTCCTAAGGTGGGAATATAAACCAAGGAGCGGCAAGAGAGATAACTGAGTCGAATCCGCGAGGCAAAAGAGATAAGCTTCTGAAGGAAACGAAGACCAAAATTGTGGGCAGGAATAGGATATTCCAAAAGAATACCTTATTGTTGGGCAAAGAACAAAAGCTTCAAACTACGCAATTAACAAGTAACAAAATACGCAATTTTCGTTGCAAGAAGAAAACGCTATTGGTATTTTGAAGCAATTTTTATCTTCCGATTCGATAAAATTTCAGCTGTCGGAATTTGAAACTCATTAACAGAGTGAATTCGATATATATAAAGGATATATATAGATTTTTGATATGGTTAATGCGCGATTGCGTGCATCAATTATAATAAATATTACAAATATACTATACTAGCCTACGCTATCAATAATTCCCTTACGCATTTATCAGTAAATTAATGTGCAACGAACGAGCAATGTGTAATTAATATAAACAGCTTTGTATAATTTACATCATTCTACGAGCAATTCGGATTGGGCATCGTACAATTTACAAAGCACCATCGCGAAAAATATAATAATCACGTTACTGCATACGATAGCATAGCATATCAAAAACGAAAATGATCTACACGGTAATTGCATGTGATTTCGCAGACTGTAGTTATCCCCGTTATTACGACGCCACGTTGTGCCATTAGTGAATTTGATTTTGTACCCCGAGACCAAATTTTCAGGTCACGACTTTACTTTGGGAGTAATTCCAGTTTTCAAATGGCACACTACTTGCGACTTTCGTGGAGCATCATTCTCGCATTCCGAGGGGCAAACTGCCGGAGCTGGCTTTGTCGAAGTTCAAACGGAGAGAAACGGTGGATTAACGATCACCCGGGAAATCGCATACGGGCGAGTTAATTAGCAGCCGCCGAGCAATGCGTCGTTTAATTAAATCACGGTTGATCTATTAAAGACCGTCGCCAGAACTCTCTCAGGTACCACCTTTCCCTCCGGGACGGCCGAATAAATATTACGATCATCATCGAGAAATTGTAATGACGATCGCGTCCGATGAAAACGCCCGCCCAGTATTTACCGTTGATGAATTTAATCGAAACCGCCGTCGCCCGCAAAGAAACGCGATCCGTCAAACGCGCTTAAACGAAATGCAATCGAGGTGCATCGCGTCGATGTCAATGTGACATTAATTACGAACCGCATAACGAAACGCGAGCCGCGATGCCGCGCGCGAAGACTACCCTATTGTATTGTACTTGTGACGCTACCTTGCTTTATACATTCGCTCGCGTGAACTTTATCCGCGCGGTGTGAATATCAAATGTGCAAATCGTCAAAAGCTTTGTACGTTTCCTGAATGACGTGCTCTACGCATTTGGAATGTGCATAGCACGGCGCAAAAAGAGCGACATATGTAATACACGCAGCTTTCGAAGAGCTTATCGCTCTCCATTCTATTTTATAGGGCTCTCCTTCACCGTTAATTACCGCCCGTCAATATTTATAGCCTCAAGTTTGATAAAAACTCACTCAGGAATTTAAAGCGTTTCAGTTATTATTTATATCCGAATCATGTGAGAAATTCATTACATCTCAATTTACTGCATTTATTTTTAATTACGAGATAAACGAGATTAATTAATTGGCACAAATATATCGCAAATAAAATTTAAAAAATGTCTTTCGCGCGTAAGTGATACGATCACTTTTTTTTAAGTACTCGTACAAGCACACGTCAATATTACTCGCGCGATATAGCCGAGCCATTAACCGTGACGCAATTTAGCGCAACTTAATGCACAGACGAAACGTATAACTGCGAAATATGCTCAAAAGCTGCTTTTAGCGCAGGCCGCATCGGCCGTATCATAAAGCACACTGAAAAATTTCCCGAAAAGTGCTTGGCGCTCGAGTTACGATGTCATAAAAAAAATTCCACGCGCGTCGACGACTTTATCCTCGTATTCCTCAACTTTGTGGCTCGTATCTATCGCGCTTGGATCTCGGCAACGAACGGGCTGACGGGACACCCCGCGAACGTACCATCATCTTTCATCGCGCGCTCGACGCGTTGTTACGCGAGGCAGACATTCAATGTCATACGAGCAAACTCCAGAAACTTTCGTAAATACGCGCTTCCGTCGCTACAACCCAAAGAGAAAAGTTCGGGGGATATGTGCATCCGTGAATTCTCCGTTTTCCGTGGATTTTCCTAACAGAAACTGATAGCCATCAAATGTTCAATCGTATGCATACATGTCTGTTACGATGTCCTCGCACATCTTCTGGTTTACTACTTACAATAAAGTACTTATAAATATTTTGATAGAATTATAGATCGCTTTTATTTTATATTTTATTTGCGTACTACTAGCTCTATATAATTTTTTGATGAAAAAATTCTAGAATAAAAATGTATATTTTTGTTAAAATTTAAATATTATATCTATGTAAATATGTTGACTGGGATAAAATAAGCTTTCTCTCTGACAAAAAGAGTATAACCTCGATATATAATATAGTATACATTCTGCAAAATCAGATTGGATAGGAAATGGTTTTAGAGAAAAGAAAATATGCAAAATTCGAACTCTAGCGCCGGGTATATAACAGGATTAGCTAATAAACGTTGTAATATAGGGAAAGAATAATACGAAATTAGAGTGTGTGTATATATACATATGTATGTATTAAAATAACTAAATTCGCGTAAATTTAATTCAACATTCCGCAAAATGTCATGAATATGGAAATCGCGAGTAGTGCAGAAGAGAAATATATAGAATGATGAAGCTTGATATCAAAATAAATAACCAGGAAATGAAAACGCGTTTTCCAGTTTTTATCTCTTTCATTTAGTTTATATTAAAATAAATGTTGCAATTGATTTTTTTATTCACGATTACATTGCTAAAATAAAAGTTGCAATTGATTTTTATTCAAAACAAGAATGTTAAAAATTGTTTCTCTTTTTATCTATTATTTCATTACTTTCGTTAGTGATGATTTATGAATGAAAAAGTTTTGTAAATAAGAAAAATATAGTTGCTGATATTGAGTTGCAAATAAAAATTGCGCGAATACGAAGAATTTTGAATGTATTCTAATATTTCATGTGCTCCACGTCGTTTAAAACACGGAAGCAAATACAAGAACTTGGTAAATGTAAAAAGTTAAATGACTTTCCCGCAGATACTAAATCATTTTTTATAGGCTTTTCGAGATAGGATTGATCCTATCGCCGTGTCTCCAACTGGTTGTTGGTCTTCAGTTTTTTTGACACAAAACTTCTGATTCCCCCTTAAGAGATCCTGAATCAAATAAAACGAGGGTTATAAGAAATATGTGTATACACAGGCGAGAGAGAGAAATTCTCTCGGAATTCTTCTGAAAGACAAACGAATATTCGGCAGCCGCGAATAAACTCCACGCACTAAAAGAGAGCTACACTAATTAAAATATTAAGTTGAAGTAAAAGTATAAGATATTTTTTACGCTCTATTTTTCTCTGAAAATGCAAGGAGACTAGAGAGATGGCTGAATTTTTTCTTATTTTTCTATCTCTCATTTTTCTTATTCAGCGATCGCAGTTATTTTTACCCGTGTCCCTCGTTTTCCAAGTTTGTCAAGTGCACAAAGTGTATAACAGCCTGCCATCGCGCCTTTTTCATATCCCGCGCGTGTACATGTGGACGTGTGCATTTTCATTCGGCACACGTACCTATTTCCGAACGAGAAATCGCACCGACGTTTACACATGTCCGCGCTCACTATATGATACGCAACGAATGCAATTCGGGATTTCTTCAATAACTATATACTCGGCGGCTGCTCGCAACGAGATGGAATACATATAACGAGATGGGTGTCACCGTAATACTGACATTTCGTTATTCTCGTTTTCGTAGCGTTTCGCGCAAGATAGACACAAAAACGAAAGACGTGACCATATACCCTGCAATGCAAAAAGCGACACTCTTGATTAAAGAAATGTTTTTGCATTTTCCTGCTTTTACCGTTCAGGTACCATTGACGTCACACAGTACCTCGAGGCCCGCATGAACCGGAATTCAACCAGATTATCGAATTGCTTACACGAACTGGCGACATCGCGATATATCAACTTTGTAGATACGCAACTTATGAAAAATTCCCTTAAGGCGCGTTTAATAAGATTTATTATGTAATCGATAACAAGAGAATTCTTAGAGTTTTCGGATTAGCGCGAGTAAGATCTGATTTGTTTAAGATTTAATGAGGAAGGTCGGAAAGTACGGCGTATCGCGCGAAGTTTAATCGTGTTTTCTCCTCAAGAATGACAAAGTTGGAAATTAATTGGATCACTGACAATCACATTTTGTGTACACATCCGAAAGTACAACAAGCTGTACTCAAAGCGCGGTCAAAATGGAAGTTCCAAATTACGTAATCATGCTTAATTTTCGAAAAGTACATTCCCTAATCTCTCCGCAAGGTAAAGCTAAACTACTGTATAGTCTTTACGGCGCCCCGTTGCATCGTAAATTCGTGAATTTATGTGAGACAGCATCTCGGTATCATCCATTCGCGATTCGTCGCGACTATAAAAAATGTATCTCGTCCAAAATATAAACAACATGCATGGAAATATATGCGAGAATCAGATTCAAAAACAAATTAATAAAATATAGATAAATTAGTGAAACTTTTTAATTCGTTTAATTTCTATTATTTAAAGTGATGTATATGTAATAAGATAATCTATTACTAATTATTATGTAATTATGTAAACTAAAACAAGATAACTTGCTATTTGTTACAGTTGATCATTGTTAACTTTTCCTCAAACATTCCGCTTTTGTGTGTTATTAATTTTAAATAACACAATTTAAAAGTTTAAATCTTGGCTGCTAAATAAAGAAGTAAATTACTCAAGAATACTTATTTTAACACTTGTCTGCTCGACGAGTCATTTATATCTTACTGTACATATCACGAAAAAATTTACATTTTTATCTTAACACATATAATATGATAAAATATTATATAATATGATTAAATAAAACTGTGCTCTTATGGGTAATGTGTTTAATAGCGCACTTTATGTGATATTATTATATGTGGTTATTTATATTCATAACTTTATATTAAACAGCAATTATCTTTCACAAGTGTTTTGCAAAATTACGATAACCGGTCATGGATGATCACTAATCAACGTGTTAATTGATTCTTCATCGATTGATATTTGCATTCGCTCTCATATTTGATACCCTGTATGTGGAGCCTTGGCGTTCAGTATCAGTTTTGAATTAGGTATGCAATCTCGTTTTACTTATGAAAGTCACGAACTAACCCATCGCAAGGGCGAGATCAAACTGTTCTAAAGTTCTCTTTTTGCAACGAAGGGAGATCGCATAAAATTCGCATAACAAACGACCTCGACGGATCCGCATTGAAGAGATCGTTCGCGCTCCATCGCGACGGCGAAAAAAAAGGTATTTCGGAGCGAAGTAAAGACTAGATCGGCCGTGTGTGTTGTGTACACGAATATATTTGCTTCCGTCGCCGATATATGTCAACGTCGAAAAAGCGAAATGCAAAAGACTCGAAATTTATTACCGTAGCAGCTGTTCTCCAGTCAATTTGCGCGGAGGGAACATTAGCACGACTCTTTATGACTCGCATCGCGCGCGATTGTCTCGCTCGTTCTCGCGTCGACGATTGATGTTCCAGAAAGAAAAAACAGGACAATTTGTATCGAACATCGTCACGATTTCTTGCCGAACATCAGTAGCCAAGGACGGTAACAGCTAGTGTGCCGGTCGAAGTCGAAATCATGGACTGTTATTCTTTTCCGGGATGCGATAAAAGAACTCGGAATTGATTGCAATAATTATATGTATCGCACGCGTATTTTTTTCTAATCTTATTATTTAATGACGTTTTGCACACATGTTATGTGTGTGGAAATAGAACTTAAAATTTTTCATAAATTTTTAATTAAGTGATACGAGACGCACCGAAAATAAAACTCTCTAATTTATAATTTCAATTTTGCGCAGATATAAAAATCACGCCAACTATTTAAAACGGATCTTACAATTTGTAGAATTTGGTCCATTCTTTCCGTCGTAACGCGTAATTTAAACCTTCAATTATCACGCACACAGAAAAGACTTGAATTTTCTGTTGTATAGGTGTATGTAATAATACCAAATGTACCTTTTCCACGAAATTCGAAATTAAATAGCGAAAAATACGTAGGTATTTTACTAGAATTAACACCAAGTTTCCTGGGAATTTCGCGAAATGCGCCAATCGTAAACGTGATTAGACTGATCAATTCGCACAAGGATCAAGTTCAGATCCTTTCCTATATAAATGGAAAAGAGTGTCTCGAATATCCAGTGGAGTAATGTCACGTGCTTTCCGGTCGAGAGAGCCGGCAGCACAGAGACAGCTACACGCACGAACGAACAATTTCGAACTCGAGATGTCTCGGAGATCGCTCTTTACCGTAGACAGAGAAAAGACCTTACACGTCTTGCCGATGTTCTTTTTAATGGTGAGAGACACGCGCGTACCGGATATATCGCTAAGGAACGCTCGGCCGCGATACGACGTTGTCTAATCGTTCTTTCACTGACAGATCAACTTCCTTACTGTATCCAACTGTATTCGCGAGCAAGATCAATTGGATTCACCATTTCGCGGATTTTTCATTTGATCGCGTCCCGGAGCACGTTGTCGCACGAGTCACATCTCTCGAAGATAGCCGGTTTCTGGCCTCGCGATCGAAATCGATCGACGCGCGATCGGGCTGATTTCTCGATTCCTCGTTACTCATACTTCAAGGTGGCTCATTGTTTCGCGGACCACCGCGAACTTAGGTATCGGCTCTGTTTCCCGCCGATCGCCGATCTCTCCGGCTCCTCAGTTCGCGCTCTTCTGGAGCAAGCTCGGAACGCGCGATTGAAACTGAGAGCGAACCGAAGGAAAGCACGGTGCTCCGGATCGCCCACCGAAGTCGACGATCGCTCCTCCTCCTCTCTGTTCTCATCTCCCCTCGCTCTCTGCCGCACTCTTCCTGCCTCCAGCTCTCTCTCTCTCTCTCTCTCCCTCTCTCTCTCTCTCCCTTCCACCCTTCGATCCCTCCGCCGCCCTCTCGTGCCTTTTCTCTCCTTATCCACCTCCCGATCTGTCTATCGGTCTATCTTCGCCGCCGGTCCTCCCTCTTTATCGCACCCCCACATCGCGCGGCCAGTTCGCTCCAGGCGAGCACGCCACTCCGAGATCGTGTAGGTGGATATTGCTGTGCGCCTCCACGAAGGAAGCACAACGAGGAAGTGGAACGCATGCGTCAATCCTTTCGAATACCCTCCGTGCACACCACACCTTTCATTTCGCATCGAATCGCCATGGAGTGCGTCCGGAGTGTTTAAAGGGCTTCAGGTCAAAAGTGATAATCGCAACTTTGGTTTTCGTCCTTTTAAAAAACGTCATGCAATTATCATACGCCTTCAATTTGTGAAACACTGTAGAGAGATCCGCAGATCCGCCAGAAGATATCTCGGGGAGAGATACCCCTTGACGAATTTAGTGTTATATTTCTCAACAGAATTGAATATTGTAAGCATTATGCGTGACGCAATATAAAATATTTTTAGTAGACCTGAAATTCAAAATAGTGGCAAATAATATTTTATAAAATTTTACTATAAATTCTTTCAGATTTTTATTACGTTTTTCTCCTATAAAGTTAGCAAAAAATGTCATGCTAAAAATTTATTTTTGCGTCAAGAATGTCATGGTCACTAAAAGAATGCAAATTTTATCTTGTAAACAGAAATCTAGCACTATAAGAAGCGGAGAAATTTGTTGAGTGCAAATATCTCCGACAAAAATCTATAATGGGACATCTTTCTATCGCATACTTTTGTATATAGATAACGTCACCCTACCTGCATGCCCGCAAATATTGGCGGAGAAATAGATTTCACAGTATCAAAAATCACATACGTGACAATACCGAGTGGAATTTATCGATAAATCGAAGATTGCAATCATCAACTATATATGTTTCTTTTGATTATATATAAATCTCTATTATTCATCAATTTTCAAACGTATATGTAATATTATTAAAAAATTAAGAGATAAAACACAAAGAGAGAAAGAGAGAGAGAGGTTATTTTTTAATATTTATTTTATTAAATCAAAAAGATTTTTTACTGATATATTAGATGCAATAATCATACTTTTGAACTTTTCAAAAATATATAATAGTAGTGTGCTATGCAACTTTAAATACATGTATCATTAACATCTGATTATTAAGTCCATAATTATTTTCGGTTCTATTCTAGGCTCTTTCGTAATCGTCGTTTTGAGCGCGTGTTCTTGCTATATATCATAAGTCTCCTGTCAAGGTCAGCTTTCTGATCTTCGAAGTGAAAGAACTGTCGATCGTGTCATTTACGCAAGAGTTGCCTACGTAGTCCTTTTATCATTAAAAATAGATTTCCAACCGTGTGAAAGAGAGAGAGAGAGAGAAAGCGAGAAAGAGAGAAAGGAATTCGTCTGTCACACGATTTTAGGATACATTTATATAGATAACGGCAAATCAATACAGCAGTAAGGTAAAGGTACCAATACCCGGACATGTACCTATATCCGGACACCTTTATTATTTATAAGTATAACGCGTATTAAAATCAAAGATAAAAGTATTTTTTCTTGTAGTTTGAAACTTAAGTTATAATATCCAAACGTTTATTTTCATATATTTATGTTTTTTTAAAGGTATCCAGACACAGATACGTGTCCAGGTATTGGTACATTTCCTATGCTTAAGTGTCCGGGTATTGGTACCTTTACCTTAATATTAAAAAATATTTAGTGTTATAGATGTAATGTAGATTTTTAAAAATATATTATTTTAAGCACAAGACATGTTAAAAATATTATTTATAGAATTTAACTATAGCATTATCTTGCTCGTGGTTGGATAATTTATGATTTTATTTGGATATTTGTATGCGCTTTCACTTTAACGCTTTAATTTAAGATCATATCATAAAAATGTTTCAAAAAATGTAGAAAAAATATAAAAAAATGTCTAAATAATTTCTGTTAAGAAAAAGTGATCTCCATTTTGATCGAGAAAATCATGAGTAATGAAATGTAAGTAGAAAACCCAAAGTAATCCAAAGTAATCTTCTCGAATAAAAAATTCGCATTTGTTAATTGATAATCGATTCGTTAAAGATTTTTCTTAAGATTCCGTACCATTTCTTCTGACGAAAAAATGGTACGGAGTCGAAGAAAAACTTAAAAGCATTCGCTAATGGGCGGCTAATGTCTTTATTATGAGAGACGTCGCTCCCAACAATGGTTGCTTCCGAGCTTAATGCTCTCATGTCATCAACCTTGTTGCATGTACCATAAAAAAGTACAATATTTATGTAACACGCGGAAAAGTGTCGTAAGTGCCTATTTGCATATTCTTTCAGGGCATATGTGTTACCACACGACACGTACACGTGAACATATGCAAATAGGCACTTATGACCAATGCGTTTTATGCATAATGTATCGACGACATTCACAAATATCACTCTGCTCTGCGTTTTGAGGATGACACGAGAGTGACATATCCAGAAAGTTCTTCAATTTTCAAAATCATTTTTATATACTCTTGTCAAGCAATTTGTACAAACAATTTTCTATATATTCTTGCACAAATTTTTTCATGATACAATAAAATTACGGATTGCAAAATTACGTTGTGATTTACTCAACTAGCACGCTTCTCGCGTAACAGTAATAAATTATTTGCTTTGCAAAAAAGTTGTAAGAATGTTATAAAGTGTGTGTAATAACTTTAGATTTAAAAGATTTTAAATGTGCATAATTGCCGTACGTGTGCACATGACATGCTCCTATAACATGTACTTCTTGAATGCACGGTTTGGAATTTTCCAAAGTTTTGCAAAATCGCATAAGTTATTGCCAACAATTTTTACCGATGTAAAAACGCTCTGATGAATTTTGTGTGATGAGACGACACATTCGACAGTTGATAAAACACTCGAGACTCATCGATTAATATTCATCAATACTGCAAACTTTGATCTTTTTCCTCGACACTTTGTTTACAGAACGTATCTTAATAAAATATATGTTATCCATTACCCATACAACGTGTGTGAAGTATTATTTATTGCAAGCTATTTTTATATTATTTTTTATATATAAACTTATTTTTACATTATTTATTTTATTACGTAGTGTCACGTTGACGCACAAATAGGTCTAGTTATCTTCGAAGGGATAATTCCGAGCGAAAATCCTTGTAACACTTTAAATAGCGATAATCTTGTAAGTTCATTAAGGAAATGTTTAAATATAGACGTTGTGACGTGTAAAGCCGTGTGAGAAGATATCAATAATAGAAATGTCCAAGCATGATAAGTTACGCGATAACGTACGAAATGAGATATGATAAGGCACGATTCGCCTAATGATTAAAAAGAGTTAAACAAAAAATTACGCAAATACTTTCTTATCCGTTAAAGATATTATAAACGAGCAATATTTCAACTGAAAGCTCCACTTATATTAATAGATTACATTTTCCGCATCTGATAATTGGATTTTCTTCCTAGTGCTTTCACATTGAATTTAGTTAGAATTTAGAATTGATAAAATCTATGTAATATAACAACGTTGTTCAACAGCAACGTAATTTTAAAAAACATAATTAATTTTATTTATATTGTACATACATTATTATACCATAGTATATATTATAGTAAATAGACTTAATACATATTTCAACTTTATAAATAGTAATTATTCTATAAATATAAAATTAATTATATTTTTAAAATATATTTATTTTAATATATATACATATCATTCAAAAGCGTTTTATATCATCATGATATTTAGCATTAAAAGAAGCGAATGAAATGAGAGAATCATAACTGTGGTGAAACCACTCGAAATGATTAATGCGCGGAATGTATCATCTTTCTCTCACGTCACTCGAAATATATTGATTATAATTAAATTTATTGCGAACGCTTAAAGCCTCCGCTAACATTATGGGACAATTCAAGAATATATACAGAAGCAATATATTTTTATCAAATTATTCAGTGTTGATTAGTAATTACTATACACTGTTTAAAAAATGCAATAAAATTCCTATAATATAGTACACATTTAGAAAGTTCCGACGATTAAAAGCAATCTTTTTTTGTCGCCAATGTAAGATACTGATAAGATCCATACACATTAATTTCAGATGTATTTGATCAAAGTGCACTCGCAACAAAATTGACTGTTGAATTATAATCTTATAATTGTTAATTTTTTATTTATTTATTGCATATTAAACTTTATGCAACCATATGCTTTTTGAAAAGGATCGTAGGAAGATATTTTTATCATAGATTCGACATTTCAAGACAACGACGTTTATAATTAAATACTTGTTTACAGCACTTGAAGCGTCATTGTCTACGACTTGATCACTTAAACCCGTGGTATGCGATAAATAAGGATAAACATGATGATTAATATCTTTTTAATCTGATTTCGATAGTGTGGTATTTCGTATGAGGAAGAATGACAGTGGAATATAATTATATCGTTAGATAAATGAATATATATATATCGGTAATTAACCCTTTAGATATCTTGACGAAGTAATTTCTCGGAAAGCTCCTTATACTTTTTTATAACAATTTTATTCATAGATGATCTGAATGTTAAATCCAGCTATTTGTTAATTGACGTCTAAAGACGCAAAAGAAGCAACTTTTCCGCTTGTTACTTTTACTGATTAGTGATAATACCCTTGCATTTTTCATAAAATTTAATTTAACTTTTTTTTTAATTGTTTCATACACTTTTCTTACTGTTTAAAAGGATATTTTATGTAGAATTTATTTTCCATTATTTATCTTAAAATATTTGTGCACGCAGACGTATAACTTAATTGGGTAAATATCGAACTTATATTGAAATGCTTTTTTTCGACGTCTCAATGAATCATCTTTCCGATATAATATTTTCAAAAACTTGATTTAAGTGTTATATAATAATTAATTTTAAAAAAAGTCACTCACCACCGTACGAATTGCTAACGTGATCTCTCAAGGCCTCCGGATAATCATTGGGAGTCGTAGCTTCGACGTCGAAAGTGCCATAAGTAATATCATGCTCCTTCTTGATGAATTCAACCATTGACTTCATCATAAGCTGACACGTATGTCTACCACCGACTTGATTTTGCCCGTTTGTTGCATAAACAAGATGCACTTTTCGCCACTTGTAACTAATTCATAGGAAGGAAAAAGGAAAAGAAAATTTTGTTATGATCCTTCAACTTTTAGTTTTCTTATAATCGTCAAATAATCACATTTGTAATATAATTGTCTGTTTGTAATATAATTTGTTTAATATATCAACCTCTTTTTGAAGAAACACATAAAGACAAAATATTTATTACATCAATTTTTAATCGATAGATATTGCATAAACTTTGACTCATAAATACATACCGATTCATCATAGCGACAAAAAAATTGGCGATGTCCCTGAAGGCCAAACTTCCGATTCTTGTGGTCATGAAGTATTCATCTTTACATTCGACTTTTTTCTCGGTGAAATCGAAAGTAAAGCCTCCTGTGGTAATTAAAGGTGCTCCAAGAAATTTGACCACTCTGCCGACGACCGCTGAAAGAAAACTCTTAAATAATACCACAATAATGGAAACAGTATAAAAAATAAAAGAAGAACAGCTCAGAAGAAATATGCCATATGTTAAAAATATTTTATATTTTAAAAATATAAAAAAGATAAAAAAAAGGAGAATATATAAAACATAAAAATTATTATAAAATCCGCTCTTGTAGTGCGGTTACAATTAAATCATTTTGACACAGAAATCTTTATGCGGAAGATTACGGAAATTTAATGTAATATATTAAAACAAATCTTATATATAATGAAACAGCTTACTCAGTTTTAACGGATGTAATTTATATGTGGATTAAAGCATAAACCGAGATGGTTTTAGAATCATTTATTTTGAGACTGCAGGCAATTAATATTTTACGGGGGGATTCGGTAGAATTCATTAAAATAATTTCAAGTGACGTACCGACGCAATAATCGCATGCCGGCCCAAGAAACAGGTGCACGCAATGCGAGTAGCTGTCGATCGCGCCGATTTGCGCGTACATCGCGTCGCAATGATCGTCTTGCGGCACGAACTTCAGCTTCAGCCAGTACGGTAACAGATTCCGCGATCTCGCTTCGTACTCCGCTAAATCTGTAAATGAGAAAGCCGATATGCTCTTCTGCACAGTGCACAGATTCGAACAAAGCTAAACTTGTGAGGGGTGGCGCGTGGCAAAATTTGATTTTATTCAACTCCTCGCGTTTGCCGGTCCCAGTTCGTCTGAGATGCTCGCAGTAGCTCTTACCGAGGACCGGGAGGACCTTAGGCAGAGAGATATCGTATCTTGGATCCGCCGGCAGGAGAACGGCGACCCTCAGCTCGCAAGAAACGACGCCGTCGCGGTTCGTGCTGCACAACGCCTCGCAGTCGCGATGCAATTGCACCTCGCGGCACGTGATTTTGCCCTCCGCCCGATGTATCAGCCATAGGATCGTCAGCATGACGATCCTGCGGGAACCCATGGGTGCGGACCAGAAGGCGATCTCGGTGTATCAGATCGAGTCCTTTGTCACGCCGGATCGGGAATCGCGTCGAAGCATCGTCGTCCCGACGTCACCGGCGATCACGACGGTAAACGTCTTTATCATCGCGAGACGAGCTCACCATGTGCGAGATCCTGATTCATGAGAACACTATTTCGCCGTCTCGCGATCGCGCCGCGGTCCTTGCGATTCATTCGCGCCGACACGTTCACGTTACACTCTCGAGTTCCTGCCGGTTTGTCCGACCGCATCGGCAGCTGTTTCACTTGCCGCTTCTTCTGGTTCAGCGGAGAGTATCGCCAAGCGGATTATCCTCTAACGAATTACGCGAATGCATTACACGGCTGTGTTACTTTGTCTCGTACGTTCGGCTTTATTACAATAGAACTACGAACAATGCAGATTGGAGCAAGTGAGCGCGGAGCTCGATAGGGTATTACTGAGAATAGATGTTTTGTAAAATGATCACTTTTCCCTTACGGAAAAATACAGTAGAAAGACTACGATAGTTGCGAAAAAAAGTATACGAAACTATAGTAAATATTGCAGTAATTGCTTTAGTTTCGTGTGCTTTTTTTCGCAACTATGTAACTTTTTCCATAAAAGTTCTCATTTTTAAAACCAGGAATAAATTTTAAAGTAAAAGTGAAAACTTTAAATTGGATTTAAATAAAAGAAAGAAATCTCGAATTTTTTGAGAGATTCCTTAAAAATTAAACGAACGGACGTCAATTGTTTCTGATTTACTTACTTGTTGCACATCTCGTAAATAACGTATTTATGTAATGTCAACTGTAATCTACCGTTATCTATTAATTCGAGAACGCGTAGAACATCATCGAAGATTACAATAATTGTAATCGAGCCGCGTTTATCGGAGACGTGACGTATTAGTTTTAAAACTATTTAGATTCCATATCGCGGATATTTTTAAAGCGGTTATCGTACGCGACACCTCTCTCTCGCCGATCACTCCGGGAAATCTATCAGCGAACCTATACGCGCAATACGTGACCGCGCGCTGCGGCCGGGGAAAATATTTACGTGATGCAAGCTGCCACAATGAACACTACGCCGAATCTAGGTCTGACCAAACGAAAAAGATCCTTGCGTGACCCGTTCGCATTCGCGCCGGACGCGCATCGTCCCACGTTCCTTTGTTCGATCTCTCCCCCGAGCTTCGTCGAGCTTGATAAGCGGGGAGAAAGAGAGAAGAGCCCGCGGACGCTGCTCGACCGCGATCAACGAAAAAACACAATCAGAGGCGTACTATCAGACTAAATCGACTTAAAAAATGCGTGGAGGAGCAGATCCCGATTCCGATTTCGGTTCCGATTTTGGGAGTATCTGGACGCGCGAGGGAAGGGGAGGGGGATGAGCGACAGGAAGAGAGGCAGACATCGCGATTCACATCGGGATCGCCGGAAATACACTGACACCTCACGATCACGCGGCTGCCTTGTTCCCGGTGACAAGCGGAGCACTTACATACACACGCGTCTTTATCACGGATATCACGCGTCGATTGATAGTAGTTATCAAAAACTCCGACGTGCACGGCTCGCTCGGCTCTGCCCCCTCCCACGCGAATCATTCAGGGGGGTTGTCGGGGTCTATATTCCATCTCGAGAGGATCGAGTTTCCGTCGAGGGTTCCGCCCCTCAATCGCGTCAAGCGCTGCCTCGCTCGGAGAATCGTCTCCGGTGGTTGGTCTCTCCTCATATTGTGCTAGCTCTGCCATTTTCCCGTTTGACGTTTCTTCCCCTCGATAGATATTTCCCCGTTTCTTCATCCGGTTCTCGGGATTGAACTGTCAATTCGGTTCGTAATGATTTTCTGCTCGTGTTTGTCTGGGATTCATGATTATATGTATATATATTGAAATTTACGATTGTCTGTTTCGACTGTTTGATTTTTTTACTTAAGCGTATAATAAAAGGGTAAAGTACGCTTTCTGTGTGTCTTTTTAAAGTTATTACTATAAAGAAAGAGAAAGAGTTTAATATTTTTTAACATAAAATGCGTTTATTACAATAGAGGGCGCCTATATCTTTTTCTAGTTTTTTGTATAATGAACTTAGAGTTCAATTTAGCGAGCAGAAAATGCCGAAACATCGTCATATGTAAAAAAAAAACGTTTCGAAAGACGCCTCGCGCTTATCGATCGCTATACAAAAACGACGCGAGTTCTTTATTCGAATTTTAACTCCATTTTAATTTATACGCGCTAAACATTCGCGCGTCACGGGTATTGATTGAAACAATTTAAAACTGTTTTGATCAACTATATTTTTTATTTTATTTTGCCTTTAATTGCATACGAACACCAAAATGTCAGGTGCAATTTTGATTCACGACACGCTACCATTGCGAATGCGCGGTGTAGCGTCGTTTTCCGGAACTAGACGAATCACGTGCTCGATTTCTCTCTTTACACCACTTTCTTTACACGCCGCGGATCGGCAGATGTTTTTAGGAACGCGTTGTTGAGTTTAATCGGCGGATAGTATACACACGTGCGTTGAGAAAATATCTCAAATAAAATGAAAATAAAAAAAATCAGGAAGCTAAAGCGCAAGAAGAAGTTCAATCCAAATGTGAATCGAAAGAGGATGCGAGATAAGCTACGGAAACTACCGGAGATCCCATGGTAAATTTCCTAACCTAGAATTTGTGTAACTGATACCCAACATACTGCAAAAGCTTATTGTAACATACCGAAATCGCTATTTAGTATTTATTTACTCTATTACGTTTGACTTTTAGTGATCAAATAAAGAAAGCATGGGAGAACAAGATGTCTACTCGTGTCAATTTGAAAAAGATGGGTTTGGCGTATGACCCAAACGAGGCAGTGCGAATTCCTAATGTAAAGCACGAGATGCTGGAGGAGGCCAAGAGGAAAGTTGCGGGAAACGAGGATTCGGAACACAAGAGCGAAAAGATGAAGGTGGCCGCGGCAAAGAGTTACGTGGCGGAGAAGCTGGAAGCCGAGGCAAAAGCTCCTAGAGAGCGATTTCTCAAATTACCGAAGGGACAAGCGCAGTTTCTTACTTATTTAATAACGAAGTACGGCGAAGATTACAAGGTGAGATTTTCTGCGAGTAAAGTCATCATTATCCCCACAAGAAGTAGATGATTATCTGCGTGTTCTCTGTACAGGCAATGTCGAGGGACAAGAAGAACCATGATCAATTAACTTGGAAGCAAATACGAGCTAAGGTGAAAATGTTTAAAGGAATTCCAGAACAGTATAACAAATTTGTTCAAAATAGCGATGTACAGGTAGAGTCCTAACGTGCATAAATGTATATTAGGATTTTGTTTGTATTTTAAACTTGAGATTAACGTATATATGAATCAATGACTTAATATGTACTTTTATAATTCATGCTAATTTGGCATAAAAATGGGTCACATCATGATGGAAATCAAGCAAAGTTTGTTACATTTGACAAAATGTATTGGCAAATAACGAATAATAATTCCGAATATATATTTGTTATTTCATCACTTTATATAAATATATGCTGATGCATTTCCTGTGATAGAACTGTATTTGTAAACGGATTATATCACAAATACATGGTTTGCTGTATTTTGCATAATTGGATATGCGTATTAATGTTCGTGCCAATAAAATGTTATTTTATTTTACACTGACAATTTAGTAGTTTACATAAATTAAAGCTTACTGCACGCAAATAAATATTGCGATCAAAATATAATATTTCTCCCTTCGCGCGTTTTATTCAAATATTTTAAATTATCTTTTATATGATTTTATGAAAGATTTATTCGACAAAATAGAAAATCTAAGACATTCTATGTGGGATGGTACGAGATAAAAACATATGGTAGAAACAACTTGCTTTAATTATACAAGTACGTAAAATACGTGACACATAAAAAATTAGCGTTATCGATGTTGTTAGGCACCCTGTTTCCTGTTTGTGCCCTGAATGAAGAGGGGCGATGCTACCTCTGGCATAAACATTCGCAATCGCGCTGAAATTATTGGCATTATTCGAGAGTACCTATTCTTACATACGTATCCGAAATCCCTACAAATACAAATCCTAGTTTGATTCAACGTCATCGCGGATGTCGATCCCTGAAGGAACGTAAGTCCAGTCTTATGAAAATCACGAAGTTCTGTTAACGCTTTCCGAAGGTATGCTCCGTCTTTTGGTCTCAGATCACTTTGTTTCTTAGACGTCCCAGACTCTCGATTTCGGTTTCAAGTACATCGCCACGCTGAAACACGCGATTGAGTGTAAAATACGCAGATTATACACACATGATGAAGAATATAATTTAATTAATTTATTAAATATAAGAACATACCTGCAAATATTCAGGTGGATTGCGTGTGAATCCTACACCAGCCGGCGTGCCGGTAAGAATCACGTCGCCTGGTAACAATGTCATAAATCTGAAATTTTTAATTAGCATCGTTATTGCGCGTATTCTCAATTACATCGTCGGCGTATCGTCGTGAAAAATACGAACTGCGAAAGATAGACGACTATTTCGTGAGGTTTGAAGATGAGCTCGCTGGTATTGCCGTCCTGTTTCAAATTGCCATTCACCCATGTCCTCACGGACAGATTGTTGATGTCGCATATCGCTTCCTTGGTGACCACGGCCGGGCCAAGAGGACAGAACGTGTCCATCGCTTTGCCAAGCAGGTATTGACCGCCGTTCCGCTTCGATTTCTGCCAGTCGCGCGCCGATATATCCTGCGCTACCGTATAACCGAAGATACAGTCCTCGACGTCGTCATTACTGAGGCCTTTGCATCTCTTGCCGATCACTATCGCCAGCTCGGCCTCCCAATCGACTTTCTGCAAATTTGAAAATCAATCATACTTTAATCCGGCTATACGACCGAGCGTGCGCGATTTCCGGAACGTACAAACATCACGTGCTGCATCCTACTTATTCAGAGTGTCAAGGACAAGCTACATAATGAATCAATGACGGTGTGTCGAACAATCGGACACGCGACCGCAATCCGGTATTCAAGCTACGGACCTCGCAAGAAACCGCTTGTAAAGAAAAATCTGCCGCAATAAAGCGCAATGTCCACGGCCTGAAATGGATATAACGAAAACGAAAGCGGGGGGTCGTGACGTAATCCTGGCGGACTAAAAATACACAGTTCCAGATACAACACGGAATCGACGCGATCAGAGGACACCCCGCGCTTCGACCCGGCCGCGGCGTTTCCCTTCTCCTCCTCCTCCTCTCGTTCGCCGTCGACTTACGTCCGAGATCTTCGGCAGCAGGATGTTGTCGCGCGGCCCGATGATGTTGCTGGGAAATTTGCTAAAGACTACCGGACTCTCCGGAGTCGGTATACCTTGCTCCAGACAATGTCCGCTGTAGTTGAGGCCGATGCAGGCGAGCTTATCCATCCGCGTGACCGGCGCCAGAAAGTTCACGTCGACCTCGGGCGTGATGCTCCGTCCCTCGGCGACTATTCTGTAATCAATCGTGCTCAAGTCAGCGTCATTTGGATTAGGCTTCGGAATCATCCGTTCAAAGTTAATCAACTCGCACGCGAGGCCTGGTTAAGCACGTTTTTTTTTCTTCCTACGGTGTGAGTGTCTATAAGCTTCGCGGTATTAAAGGAGGCAGAAGGAAGCAGACGGCGAAGAACAGGAAAAGAGGAAATTCGGCCTATATTCGCATGCAGAAATGCGTCCCGCATTTCCTGTTCCATGCGCAATCTTGTTAATTGATAATCACTGTAATCGCTGTCGATGAGTGACATGCGATTCCAGCGGTTCTGTGTACGCAACAAACGGGCTTTCATAGGAGATCCGACCTACGGCAATAAGCGTGTAATAACGCTATTAATTACTCCTATGTCTAAATCTCATCAATTACTGCTGGCGTTCGATATCTCGCCGATAATTCCGTGCTGCTAAATTGATGCGGGTGCACCGAGCATGATTTACATTTCTATTGTGTTCCGCCGTGCCGCCGTTTCCGGTTAATTGCACCACAACGTACACGCCCGTAGTTTTTACAAATGTTTTCCTCATTGATTTACGCTTCGCAAAGATAAGATTACGTAACAGAAAAACGTAACAGAGTTGCGGGCAAAGTCTTAAGTTGTCACGAAAGACGTGTAATATAAATTATCATTTAACTTGAATCTTTAAATTGGTGCGTCCTTTGTGCGTCAAAATTACCTTCACGACTTCTTTAAAGAGACATTCAATATTAATAAAGTATAACATGCTCATTCAAATAACTTTTATTATATATGGTATCACATTCTAAAAGAAGAAGAATGCTATTCTAATAAGTTCTGTTGATATAATTGCTTCTTCTCTTTACATCATTTTCAAAGGAATACCGCTCTTCTTCTTAAAATTGCAGAGGAAGGAACTAATTAATAATATAGAGGAACATGTGAAAACTGAATAATTTACAAATATAATTTACACCACTATTCTTATGATTTATTAGTAAACATCATACACAACTATCATACGATTATAACATACTGCAAGCAGTAATTTTTTATATAGCTTATTACATTATAACATGAAAAGTGTACGAAACATTCGACCTTAACAGAAAAAAAAAATGTTATCTCTTCTATAAATAAAATAATGTTGCGTGGAGAAATGTTCATGCCTGTTTTTATGACCTGTGCCGAATTAACAGTAAACGAAAGCAACATTGCGTAAATGAATGTTCCGAAACTGGAAGCCTCAAAGGTATATAATTAAACGAATATTCTATTAGCGAATCAATTATCGTCGTTTTTACCACTTGTCCCAGTTTGCGGGGAATTGATAGAGTCAAACACGTCGTCTGACATGATTTATAAATTAAATTTGAAAGTAAAAATGAAAGTACATTTTGTATTTCCATTTACATTTTATATTTCCATTTATTTTTAAATTAATTGATCAATCGTGTCAGACGACGGACTGATAAATAAGGGCTCCTCCATTCACCGGAGCGTGCTGCTTTCACTTAAAAAATTTTAGCTGTCCCAAAGAAGCTTGAGAGTCCGCCAATTGGCAGCGGTACAAGGCGCCGTCTCAAGTTAGTATTAACAGTTGCGTCTGATCGAGAGTTAGTTGCAATGATAAGACTCAATTGTTGAATGTCGCGCGATGCGTGATGCAAAAATCCGATGTAAAAACGCGCTGTACGAAAGCTTAAAAGCTCCCTCAATGACACGTATTTATTAGTATTTAAGCGGGACTGCAATCGATAGAGATGGTGTTTGCCGAGACTTAAGCCGAGATCGATAAAAGTCGAACAACAGAAAACATGCAATATATGTATGTATGTGATTTATAAATGTCACGTGATGACGTGACGCATAGCAATCTTCCATTAATGATCGAAAATAATTCACGAGGCACTTATGTGTGATTACATGTTCGTCACGCGACATGTCCGGCTTTTTTTGTCAATCGTTATGTTCAGAGACGAATGTACAGATCGGTAATGAGATATAATGTGTATCTTGAGTATATATATTTATAAATGACTGTTTCTCGTGTTTGGAAGGCCGTTTGTCCCGGAAATTCCCATTAATAATTTGGATCGCGAGCAGGATGTCCATCGCCAAACCAAATTTTTGATAAGGCGATAATCTTGTTTGTACGATTAAAATTCCGTTACGCAATCATCATATGATTGATTACATCATAGCATGTATACTGCTCCTCTCTCGTGTTTCAAATAAGTCACTTTCACGTCTCTTCCGCCGAACATGAAATATCGCGCAGAGGATTGTAACATGAATTTATTCTTTTTTTTTTCGTTCGTCGAAAGAAGAAATTACTTTGCACGATTGCAAAGAATTGATTGAGTGCTTTGTATGTACCTACTTCATTTTTAACAACTTTCTGCAGCTTTATTGGAAATATGCAACAATTCGGAATTTAGTAAAATACCCGTTAATAGCACGAATGGAAAATTCTAGACTGTTATAAACGTAATGTTGGATACAAAATCAATAAACTTGATAAGATATTGATAACAGTTGGAAAAAAGGAATTCGATTAACGAAGGTGCGGCTTCATATATCCTGGCGAAATGAGGATCAACGGCATCGTATATTATGTGCGTGGGCGAAGAACAAGTACAGATAACTAGCCGAAAGGGAAGAAAAAAGGGGGAATAACTACTTTATCACACGAATCGAATGCCGAAAGTGAAAGCACCAACCTCTCTACTGCCTTCCTTAGGTCGAAATCGTCGTCCCTGGCGAAACAAATTCACGTTGAGATCGGACACTTTCTTTTCTCGTATTACCCGTTAATATATATAATAGTAGATATTTCAAAAATGTATATCCAAAAATCAAGAAAGAAATAACTTGTAAAACAATACCAAGGTTAAACTTTTAATCATATATCACTCCAATCAAGAGACGAATTTAATTCCCAAGGTTCTTACAGTAGCATTACTATAATTGTGTTCTTTTTTTCTCGCACAACCTGTTATCATAATACTATATGTATATATCGGAATATATATTCCAGATAGAAAAAAAATAACTTGTAAAGTAATTCCGAGATCAAACTTCCAATCATATCAGTCCAATTTGACGTATTTAATTATCAAGTTTTCTGGTCACTATTTATGATAAAAAAAAACCGTAATAGAGAGTAATTAAAAAATTGAAGAGTAGCATTACTGTTATCTTGTTGCTTATCTACTCCAAATTATTTCCAGTCATAATTTGTCCACATTTTAGTGACAAGAAGTAACTACGTCATCACGTTAGACGATTGCAGATCGCGTTAAGCGCTTATAAATATTGTAATGTACAATTGTAATCTCTCACGCGAAAATATAACAGACTCCAGAGGGGTAAACCGCTGAGGGCATTTCGTCGAGGCATTGCTTATAGGAATTATTAGGAATTAGTAGACATTGGTGGGCATTGGTGAGCATTGGTGGGGATTGGTGGGCATTAATGGGTCTTATGGGCCCACTAATGCGCACCAATGCCTACCAATGTCCACTAAATCCTAGTAATTCCTAGAATGCCTCGACGAAATGCCCTCAGCGGTTTACCCCTCAGACTCCTCACTCCTCCGAGACTGTTTGAAGTCTCCGGCTGTTTAAGTCGCTCTCCTACCTCTTGGCCTTCTTGACAAGATCATCGCCGCCCTCCAGAAACTTTTTCAGCGTGTTCGGTATCCGCGAGTCGACCGCGGACACGGCGATGATGTCACCCCCCTGCTTCAGCTGGACCCCGAGATGCTGCGGGCCTCCGCTTTTGCTTGTGAACTGTACGAACCTGGGAAAAATATATGCCGCGTTAATCGACTAGGATAAGTCAAGTCGCGAGAGCCGGTCGGGATAATTATCGTGCCACGTTACGTCACGTGTGACCAGACTTTCTAAATGTGGCGCGTCTTTGATCATTTCGCGCTCGCCGCGGAAGCGGAACCGCGACAAGCGGTGAAACGTAACGAAACAGGTATGAGAGAACGATGAATTAAATCACACGTTATCGAGAACTCAATAGGTAATTGTACATGACAGTCGAGAAATCAAAATAAGTTGAAATATATAGTTTTGCTCTCTAAGAAATAATTCTCGCAATATTCGTTTTTTTTCCTTCCTTTTTTCCCTTAAATTTATTTCTTGTAAAATGGCAGGAAGGAATAGATAATGTACGTCTAAATGTCAATTTCGTAATACACGTGCGTCCATTAAGATAAAAACGACATGTTTTATTAGTGTTTTCCACGTTGCGTCTGTGTGTACGTGTGTGTGTGTGTGTGT